GAAGTTTCCAAAGAATGGTCACACTTTTGAAACACTGTTGCCACACTAACTTCAAAATTCCAACATCTGTGTTATCTTGGGACAGTGTCTGTTTTCTTTTTTCCTTACGGATTGCTGACATTTCTGATTTTATACTTTGTGTAATATTGCACTAAAGCCTAACCATTTTGGATGTTATGAGACTCTGGATCCTCATCAGGTCTGAGTCTAGGATTACATATACGATTATTAGATTGCTTTCTTGAGTTTCCTCTTCTCTGTCACCACCCTGACACATTCTACTCCTGAGAGCCACTTCCTTTTCCCGGTCTTCTGGTTAAAAATCCAAGGCTTTAAGTTCTCCTCTCTGCTACACACCTCATGGATATTTCTACCTCTGGATCCAAGTATCACGAAGATAGTGAGACAAGAAATGGGGATTCCCCAACCTTTTGGCCCACAGCTCCTCTGATGAGAGACAGGATCCCTAAGAGGTTCTGATGCCTGCTCAACCACCACTATCCTCACCACAGGAAAGTCTAGGAGTGCTGGACTTGTCTTCGAACTCTGCTTTCCTTCCTGAATCTGCCTGCTACCATTACTTTTCAAGGTCCTCAGATGGCTGCTCCATACAGTCTCTCCAAGGTTTTTAATTATATTCAGTGGGAGAGATAAGGTGGTGCGTGCTTACTCCATTTAAGGCAGAATCAGAACCAACCAAAAGTTATTTTATTTCCAGTGATTACATTCCTAGAGAATAAACTCTCATAGAAAATTTACAAGTATAAAGGAAGAAGTCTGACTGGAAGCTTCATATTCATCAGTTTTTCCAATCACATTTTGCCTCAATATTTTATTAAAATTTTAAACATACAGAAAAAGTTTTATAAATGACCAATGAACATCTCTATATCCTCCACAAAGTTTCAATTAACAGGTGACAAAATTTTTTACATATATTAAAATATGCTGCAAACACTATGACTTTTCAAACTGAAAACTTCTGCATGCATCTCCCAAGAATAAAGGCATTGTCCTATATACCTAAATAACATTATCCCTTCTAGGAAAATTGAACCTACCACATTATCTAATACCTATTCCATCCTATTACACCACGTCCCCCCAAATGTCCTTCATAGTTGTTTTTTTCTGAAACAGAAGGCAATTAAGCATCATACCTTGGTTCTCTTGAGTGCCTTAATCTACATGAGTCCACTTGTTTTATTATATTGGCTTTTGAAAAGTCCAGACCAGTTGTTCTTGTACAACGTCTCAAACTCTGGGCTTGTCTATTTCCTGTGTAATTGAACTTGTTCCTCTATTCCTTGTATTTCTTGTAAACAAGAAAAGCTTAGATGAGAGATTTAGATTTTCATGAAACATTTTTGACAAGACTACATCACAGATGATCATGTGTGCATGAGGTGTCTGTCACATGTCTGCTTGTGCACCAGCAGTGAAACTCAATTTGGCAGCCAGCTCTTCCTTATGAAGGCATATCTTTCCTTTGCAGTTGGCATCTCTGATTTTTGGACACCATGTACAATAATGTTCCTTAATTTTCTTTCATCTAAATTTTTATCATCCATTGACTATGCCCAATTTAATGACATTAAGGGCTGGAAAATCATGATTTTTTCTGAATCCATCACTACATTTACAATTAATATATGAAATTCTTCAAATAATTTTATAGAGCTTTTCTTCCTATACTTTTCCCTTTATGGGCTTATTTATCCTAACTTAGCATGTTATAACCAATTACAGTGATTATTCTGATGTTCATGTTGTACTAAATTTGACCAGTAGGATACACCTTCAATTTGTCTCCTGTGTCCTTCTGACATTAGTTTTGAATGCTCTTTTTTTATTTCATAAAGATACTAGTCACGTCTTACATTTTCCCTGGAGTAATCAACCATTACTCCAAGGAGCCCTGGTTCCTTATAGTGGGGAATGACATTTAGAAACCAAAATCTGGGTACTAAGCATGGTCAGTAATATTGGGTAATGAAATGTTTTTATCTAGAATATCTTGCAAATGGCTCTACAATGTTAAATATTGAGGTATCTTTAAAGGTTTTATTTTCCTTGTAAATATACTTAAACATATAAAAAGATACTTTCTAATGAACTAAGAGATATACTATGCTGAACATTTCAGTTTAATTCTAAAACCTTTCTCATATAAAAGGTTCTAATTTTATTAGAACTTTTTAAATGATACCAATTGTAAAAATGAAATATAAAACTGGAGGACAAAGGCCTGGGGGAAATGAAATCTTTCTTAAAAACATGGAAAATGTTTGGATAACTAACTTAAACTTATGACTAGAATGTTTAATAAAATATACACATGACTTTACACAAAAGAATTCCTGAAACACATGCAACAAAAACAAACGAGACAATCTTGTACTCCACCTGGGTTTGGGGATTTATGTAGTTATTATAAAATCAGGTATAATTAGGGGCACATTAGAAAATGAACATGATTTTAAGTCAATTATTAAGATTAACGTGAGGTGGAATATTAAAAATAAAACTGATTAAATTATTGCAATTGTGCCTCACCTATTTACAAAACAACTTACTCTTGGGACTTGAGGTTGTAAATGAACCTATGATTATCACAGAAAACCAGAGCTGAAAGGCCTAGATTCTAGTCTTGACTCTGCCCAATAAGCTTGATTTTTTCCCTTAGTAAAACGAAAGGGTATAAATAGACTAAATTAAAATTTCTCCTGGCTCTAATGAACTACCTGCTGTATAGTCACAGATTCTGCAAATATATACCTTCACAACTGATGAGAGTATTTGCATGACAGCCTCTGTACTTGCCCCAGTTTACTCATCTTCTCTAGTACTGTAATAAAACCCTCCGGTAATGTAGAATCATATCAAATTAAGAAATAATGTAGAAAAGGAAATGGAAGACTCCATTTGGGCAAAATTTTAATTTTCAAACTAAATTTGGAATTGATAAAACCAGTTTTTAATCATCAAAGGTTTTTGGAAAAAATATACATATATTCCCAAACTGTGTGTATATACGTATGTGCATGTGCATATGTGCATGTGTATATATGTATGTATATATATATATACATATAACTTGCTTGTGAGGCAGTTCACAAAAGGTGAGCTTATTTCCATGTGAAAATTAGACTTCAAATAATTCTTATCTTTAGCTTCTCTTTATGAAAAAAGAGTATATCCTACGTCTCCCTGACATTTTAGAAAATAAGGTCCCACATTACTACTCAATGACTGCTTTTAATTTGTATTGAAGCTTATTTTTGAAAGGAAATAAAGTCTAATGAAAGAAACAGAATTAATATTTCATTATTTTCATTTTTTTAAAAGTTAGGCTTTTACATTTTTCTATGAATTTAAAAAATTTTACATGTTTTGTAAACTTTAGAACTTAATGGTTCTTATAAAATTTGACAAGTCAGTGCTCATCATGTTTTCGCTGATAAATTTTACCACGACTTAGTGGTAACTAGCACATTTTCTCCAAGAGAAGTTAAAGAAGACCATCAGAAGTCTGCCTTATTGTTCTCCTGATTATTCTCCAGTGAGAAGTCTTGAATTATTTGAGAGAAAAATTAAACCTCACGGGACTTAACTCCTCTAAGAAATCTCTGATCCCATATTCCTTCCATTTATAGAGTTTTTCTTTATTGTGAACTTTTCTGTGCCTACAAAGGTTTGATCTATAACTGTAAGCTTTCCCACATTCCATACATTTATAGAGTTTCTCTCCAGTATGGATTCTTTCATGTTCAGTTAGGAATGAAAACTGGCTGAAAGATTTTCCACACTGATTACACTGATAGGGTTTCTCCCCAGTATGAATTCTCTGATGCCTATAAAGGTTGGATTTGCACCCAAAGGCTTTCCCACATTCTCCACACGTATAAAGTTTTTCCCCAGTATGAATTTTCCGATGTTCATTAAAGGATGAATACTGGTTGAAGGTTTTCCCACATTCGTTACACTGGTAGGGTTTCTGTCCAGTATGAATTCGCTGATGTTCGATAAGGGTTGCGATGCGTGTGAAAGTTCTGCCACATTCCATGCATTTACACAGTTGTTCTCCAGTATGAAGCCTCTGATGTTCAGCCAGGGATGTAAGCTGGCTGTAACCTTTCCCACAGTCACTACATTTATAAGGTTTCTCACCTGTATGGATTCTTTGATGTCTATGGAGTTTTGCTCTACAACTGAAGGCCTTCTCACACTCACCACATTTATAGAGTTTCTCTCCAGTATGAATTCTCTGATGTACAGTGAGGGTTGAACACTGGCTAAAGGCTTTACCACAATCTTTACATTGATAGGGTTTCTCTCCAGTATGCACTCTCACATGTTTGGTCAGAGTCGAGCTGCTGCTAAATGCTTTCTCACATTCATTACATTTATAAGGTTTCTCTCCAGTATGAATTCTCTGGTGGGCAAGAAGGGATGATCTATGGCTGAACGTTTTCCCACATTCGTTACATTTGTAGGGTTTCTCACCAGTATGAATTCTCTGGTGATCAATAAGCTGAAGACTTTGACTGAAGCTTTTCCCACATCCATTACAAATATGAGTTTTATCTCCTGGATAAATTTGGAAGCATTTCAGCAGATCAAAATCCTGTTTAAAATCTTTCCCAAAAGTATAACATATATTGGGTATCCTTTCTACAGGAACACTCTGCTGTGTAACCAGAACTGTATTTACAAATAACCCTTTCCCTAATTCAAGACTTATATGGTTTCCATCACCACAGATGGTTTTCTTGTGTGAGGCTAACATCTGCCTAAAAGGCATCTTCCGTTGTTCCTGTTCTCTTCTATTCTGAAATTCCAAAGCTTCTCTAAGCTTGATGCCCCAGTGACCGAACTTAGTGGATTTTTTCGTTATTATTCCCTGAGATGCTTCTTCTATAAAAATGTCCTGTCTGGGAGGCAATGCTTCTATTTCAGGCCATGTCTTGAAATCTGGAATGAATCAGAAGAATTAATGCCTCCTCTGCCTGAAGAGACAAACATCCATTAGTGGGACACTGAAATTGGGACTAATACATATAAAAGAGGTTTGATACCATTAGATCTCAAATATGGACTCGAATCTGGAGAAAAGAGGATGGAATGGAAGAGGTAATTAGGTTAAGGAGTAGTATAGGGGGATACACTGGACAAATTAACACTGAAAATGAAGAGACTGCTACTTGAGAGAAGTAAAGAATGACAGAAGAACCGGTTAAGCAGAAGGTATGAGACACAGAAAAATGACAGCTGACAAGCTCAAGCTGAATATGATGGGAAACCCCAGTTTATCTTTGTTTCCTGCTCTGAATATGCTAGGCAACAAGGCAGGTACTTTGTTTTTACTTTCTCCATTCTACTTACATGTTGCTTTTATTACACTTTCCCCCATGTTCTTGCTGAAACTCTGTACACAGAAATTTAAAAATATTTGTAATGTTTTTCTTAAAGTTTGTGATTTTTTATGTGAATATCATTTCATATCATACTCTGTAAAGGGAAAAACAGTCTATTAAAAAGAGGAAGTTCAAGTTTTATAACTTACAACAGCCTTGAAGCATCGCTGTGTTGATGGTATCTGATCTAAGTTCAAGATGCTAATTAAAAAGAAGAGGAAAATATGGAGTAAATCAGCCATGTGCAACAATCTATCCCTTGTGACTGGAAGAATAACAATTTTTTCATATTATCCTGCCACCACTTTTCCATTTGATCATGAGGAGCAACATATTCATTTCTTCTTCTAGGCTACAACCAGAAGATTGAACTCCCTTTGTAGGAATCTTTTGAGATTAATAAATGTCTGTAAAAGATGTGAAATCATATGTCCTGAAGTTCTGAAATACACCCAAGCCCCAACCTCATATCTGATTCTAAGTGAAAAGATTTAGCTTCAGCTGATTCTAAGAAGCTCTGCGTTAAAACTTGGCTTTCCTTAATCAATCCATTATTGAAAATAGATTAAAATTAGATCACTGTAATTAGGTAACTGTATGCACTGAAACTATGCAACTTAAAATATAATTGGATTTATGTTTAAAAATGCTTCCAATTTACTGAATTTAAATAATAAGAGAAACAAGAAAACGTGGGCTGTAAATTTCTATAAAAATACATATTTGTCTTAGTTAATGATGTCTTGGGGAAACCAAACAGTTGGATTTTCAAGGATCAACCAGGGTCCCTTCCCTGTTTTTATCCTGTGCCATGATAAGGCCTTCCCTGCCCATCCATAAACTTATCCTGCTATTCTGATCCCATTTTTCTACAGAAACTTAATTATTTAAGCCTAAATTCACCATCTCTTTCTTCTAATTTCAAAACATATTTTACTTACACATTCTATCACTTAACTTACAAAGATAAAAAGTTTGTGAAAATAATTCAAGTATTTGTTCAAAGAGAACAGCGGATAGGTCTTATGATTTTCTGTTAATTCCTTATTGCCTACAGGACAAGTACACAATCAAAATGTCTTAAGTTGAAAAATAATCAACAAATACGAGGATTAAGTTGGAAAAATTCTGAAGTGCTTCTCTCATACTGGACTCCTGAGACTCAATCAGTCATTTATTGAACAAATATTGAATAATCAATCAGCAATGAGAATATCATATAAATAAACAACCAAACAGTAACAGTTCATTTCTCCATGATGTGAGAAGCCTCGAATGTGTAATGCAGGTTTGAAGTTAAGAGAATGAAGACACCGACATCAACTTCACTAGTAAAGAATGGTTATCTGAAGCAAGTTGGACAATGAAGATGGGGTGAATTTCAATAGAAAAAGAGAATTCTGTGAGCCAGAAAGCAAGCCCAATTAAAGTCACCTGTGAGGAAATAAACCTATTTAAGGGAGGCTTATTGACTAAAGAAGGAAATCCAAGTTGGATTAGTTTAAAATGTTGTTAAACAAGGTGAAGCTAAACACAGAGTTCTCGAACAACTGGCAGAGGGATTTAGAATAGTAAAATAGATAACAGAAGGAATAAGTTTTTAGGCAGATAACTTTAAGAAAAAAATGGTCATTTTTAGTGGGCAGATTGGATCAGAGGAAGGTTAGGATGGAATCTGAAAAACAATGTAGCTGCAATGAGCTGGCTGGACTGAGTATGTGATTTTCAGCCTCAATGGCACTGAGTCAATCACAGAGGCAATTCAATTAAATTAAAAAAATATTAACTAAATGCGATATTTTAGACGCTAGAGGTAAAGAATTCACAATTCAAAGGCCCGATCTCTCCCTAAATACATGTAATATAATTAGGAAAATAAGTAATAACACAAGAACTATAATTCATTACAATAGATACTGTAATTAATATGTTCAAGGTATGTAGAAAGTGCTAGATACACACACAAATGATTGAAAATTCATGCTGAATGGGAAGAGGAAAGATATGGAAAACCTATATAAAAAGGGTAGCTTTTTAGACAGATGGATCCTGAAGGATAAGTAGTTTTCCAGTGGACGAGATGGAAGAAGCAATTCAAGCTGAAGAAATAACTCACAAATGTTAATGAAGATGAAGGTCTACCTAGAACATGAACTTGAAATGTAGGTAGACACTGATGAGACTAAAAGGAATAGAGAGACAGGCTATGAAGTAGGTTTAATGTCACATTAACGAAATTTACTTTACTTCACAGAAAATTGAGAAACAATGAAGTCTCTTAAGGTTCAAAATCTCTGAGGTTCAAAAAAATCCCTCTGCTGGTGGCATGGAAGGTGGCTGGAAAAAACAAGGCTTGCAGAGGAAAGGTCACATTCCCACAGCACCTAAGACTTGTTGGGAGTGGTAGGGGAACTGAAACCAGGGACATCTACATTAAAACTGTGATCTTAAATGCTGCACTGTACTGCCTACTAACTCTTTGTTTGGAGAAAACTGCATTTTAATAAAGGTGAAAAGTATCTGTAGAGAGAATGAGCAAAAGGAAAAAAAGATGTCAATGAAGGCAAGAGCCACAAAGACAGATGCAAAATATTACATATCTATGTCACATGGTAACTAGAAATGACCCTGGAGATGCAGGTTTATGCCATAGCATTTCAGCTTTCTAGCTCTGTCGTCAAAGAATTTTAAAATCTCTGATGCTGTGTTTCTTTAGATATAAAAAGTGGTATCTAAATTCGATCACCTTTAAGTGATCCTTCAGATCTAACAACCTAAAGTTTTATGATAATGACCAACCAGATCAGCCTGGGCTAGAAGAGCAGTTGGCAAACTACAGGTCTCTGGGCCCAGTCGGCTGTCGCCTGTTGCTGTGGAGTTCTCCCAGAGCACAGCCACACCTGTTCCTTTGAGTGGTGTTTCTGGCTGCTTTTGTACCACACACCACAATGGGAGAGTTAAATGGTTGCAATAGAGATCACAGGGCCCCCAAAGCCAAACAGATTTGTTGTCTGTCACTTTATAGACAAGCCTGCTGACTCTTGGACCAGAAAGGCTGCGTGGCTATGTGAATGAGAGGTGGCTGAATACGACAGAGATAGTAACCAGTCTGCAAGGAGATGAAAAGGAAACACTGAGCTAAGAAATTAGAGACAAAGAAGCATTGGTGATATTTTGAAATATGTGGCTGGTGAACGAAATGAAAAAAATTATAAAGAACTCAAAATATGGCAGCAGCAGATGGATTTAAAATCAGTCAGACATGAACCTGCACAAATGCAGACGAAAGAAAACCATTGAGAGCAAGAGGCCAAAGGTGGCAGAAGCAGCGAGTGAGGCTGCAAGAACAGGAAAGGGTAGGGAGCGTGTAAGGAGAAGGACGTCAGGATAGGGACCTTCGTGATGCAGAGAAAATCTTCACCCTCCACACTTCCATGGAGCTCAGCCTTCCCAGGCTTTTCCAGAGCTGCCTGCTACGGACCTGCTCACGTGTGCAGACCCCCTTGCCTGTCCTGCCGGTCACTCACCCTGACAGGCGCCTTGACAAGCCTCTCCTTCCACCAGGCAGGGATCTTTTCCTCGCTGCAACTGGCAGATCACCTTTGGCGTTGAGAGCGGAATCCCTGCTCATGAGGAAGGAAACACAGTTAGAATGAATGGCATGAGGGGGATCCCAGGACCACGCTGCAGAACCTGAGGCACGGGGCTGAGAAGACAATGCAAGCACCTCTGAGGGGCTGGGCTTCCAGGGCTGTCCCAGTAGGTAGTCTTGGTTCAGAAACAACGTAAGGCCCTGGCTCTAGTGCCTCTGCTAGGGGAGACATACGTGCTTTCCAGAATCTAAACTGGGGTCTAATCATTGGCGGGAGAGGAAACCCTGATGGGGCAGGAGGAAAGCGCAGGAAGGGGAGGAGGAGGCATGAAGGGCAGGAAGAGGCATGAAAGGCATCGCAACAAAAATGGCCAGTCAAGTCTGCAGACTCGTCCTTTCCCAGGGGCGCAGGGGAGTGGAAATCTGCAGACGCTGCAACCCAGAGGTAGCTCTAAGGCAGTTGCCCGGGAGTTTTCATTAGAGCAAACCTCCTCACCCAGTGACACCAGGGAGCTGTAGTTCTCCAGCATCACCTCCCGGTACAAGGCTCTCTGCGCGGGGTCCAAGCACAGCCACTCGTCCCGGCTGAAGAGCACGGCCACATCCCTGAACGTCACGGACTCCTGTAAAGGCAAACCCACTTCTGCTTGCCCAGGACCATCTTCTCTATTGAAAGGCTCAGTAAGAAGGTGACACTGGGATGTGTAGCAACCAATTCTGAAAATGTGACAGGACTCTAAGTATTTCAAATGAACTATCTGTTATTTTTAAAACTACACATCATCTATTAAATATTTATTGAGTACCCAGCGACACATGCCACCTGCTGCGAGGGGGTGGGGGAAGTTCCTGGCAACAGGGAATTTAAATCCAGCTTGGAATCTGTCAAAGTAACTGAGCACATACATTTACTTCTTCCCTCCCACTCAAAATGCAAATTAAAATAAAGAAAAAAAATTATAACACATTCAGAGCAATGCTGGAAAGCCGGAGAAAGTACCATCGGCAGAACAGAAACAAAGGAATCTGAGACGATAAAAAGAATACCAGTTAATATTTATTGAACTCATCTTAGGGACTATGATAGGAACTTCATATAGTATATCTGAGTTTCATAGACATCTAATGAAGAAGAAACTTAAGTCATTTTCCAGATGATGACATGGTTCAGAAAGGTTAAGTAACCTTCCCAAGGTACTGTTAGAAAGTGGTGAATCTCAGATTTGAATTCAGGGAAACAGACCTCTGAGCCATACTGTCAGATGGATTTCCACTGACTTTGAAAATTAAACAAACAAAGGACTGCGTCAGACACTATAGGTGCAAGAGGGAACTGCTGAGAAAGTAAGTTCTTTCAAAAGAACCCCAGTTAGCCCCAAAATGTGAGAAACCAGACTTTGGGCAGACAGCAACTCTTGCAGGAAAGAGCTGAAGGAAGTACAAAACGGTAAAATGCTTTTGATGGGTATTCTGTTGAGAATCTATCAAAATGTAATAGGCACATCATTCTGCACTGGCAATTCTACTCTGAGGATTCTACTACCAGAAATAATCACACAACTGGGGAGAGATATTTAAGGATGTTTACTGAAATATAACTTACAGGTTCATGAGTGTAACAGGCTGAGTAATGAACCTGTGACATATATGACAAAGGGCCTAAAAGATCTGTTTAAATTAAGTATTCTGAGGTGGGGAGATTAGCCTGGATTATGATCCAGGTGAGTTCAATGTAATCAAGTGATCCTTATAAGGACCCAAGAGTAATCAAAAGCAGAAGAGGAGAAGGCAAGGTGGTGACAGGAGCAGAGACTACAGCAATGCTCTCTGAAGACTGCCGAAAGGGCCACAAGCCAAGGAATACAGGTGGCCACTAGAAGGTGAAAATAAAGTCAGGAAACAGATTTTCCCCTCCGAGCATCTAGGAAGGACCAGCTCTGCTGAGAGCTTGACCTTAAGCCAAGGAAAGAAACTGATTCCAGACTTCTAGCCTCCCAAACTGGAAGAGGATAAATTTATGTTGTTTTAAGCTACTGAGTTTGTGGTAATTTGTTACAGCAGCCATAGGAAACTAATACAATGGTAAAAAAAAAAAAAAAAAAAAAAGGCAGCAAATGGGAAAATTGAAAGCAAACTATCAATAAGGGAATGGATAAGCAAATTATAGTACATTTATTCCACAGAATGTTAGACGGCCATTAGATAAAGTAGATTTATATGCCTGACATTAGAATTTGATCTTGACATTTTGTTAATTCATATGAAAAAGCAAGCTGAAAAACAACCTACAGTTGCTAAAAAAAACTCTTTATGTATATATATACGTGCATACAAAAATATCTGGAAGAATACAAGTTGTCCTCCTGATGATTCTCTGATATTTGCGAAGAGGGGCAGAAAAGCAAGCTTTCACTTATGACTTTTTACCCTTTCCATTAAGCTTACATTGTTTACTGTGTATTTGTTTTGAATTTTTTTAGATTCCATTTCAATTTATATATTGACTTTTTAGCTCTACCTCTTTGCAATTTTAGTGGCTTCTCTGAGAACTGTAGTATATATTCTTAGATCTTTATATTCTATTTAGAGCTAACATCTGACTTCACATAGAATTCAAGAACCCTGGCAAATATATGGGACCAGCACCATCCCTCTTCATGCTACAGTTGTTATACTTTCCCAGTTCAGATGGCTGACAGAACTCACCACACTGCACCAGGCATGCTCACAGATGGCAAAAGGTACAGTACAGCAAGACAGAGAGGGTACAGGGAAACACTGGATGTTCAAGAGACATTCCATGCACAATCCCTTTAGTTGACCATAGACTCTGCTGTGTCTGAATCTATGCAAGGAATCTCGGTTTGAGGGAGCTCAAAGGAGAAAGTATCAGCAGGGGCCTTTTGTGTGTCAAGTAAGGCTTGTCAAACCATGTAGGTCAGCTGCAAATCATCTGTGAAGGATGATCCTGGGGGTGGCCAGTGGAATTTAGATCTTAAACAGTAATCCACCACCCTTACATTGGCCAGGAGTCAAAGATCAGTCATCAGGCACCCCCAGAGACAAAGATAGAGCTTTTCCAGTCCAGATATAAATGAATCCCATATCCACAAGTGTTGCGTGCATTATACCTACCTACATCACAAACCCTGCAATGCAATATTATATTTTTGCTTTAAATAATCGTATGCATTTTAGGAAACTGGGGGGAAAAATATTTCATATTTATCCAGATAACCACCATTTCTAATGTTCTTCATTCCCTTCCCAAGATAAGAGTTCCCATTTGGCATTACTTCCTTTTAGCCCGAAGAAACTTCCTTTAGCACATCTCGATGAGATCCAAAATAATTCATGTCAACAATTCCAGGAACTGAAAAAACAACTATATCAGCAGAATGGTTTTTTTAGCAAGGTGATTGAAACCCTCAAAAAGGACCAAATAGAACTTCTGGAGATGAAGCACACACTGAAAGAGATGAAGAATGAAATAGCAAGCTTGGGAAATAGAGTTGAACAAATGGAGGAAAGGATCGGTGAAATCAAAGACAGAAATCTAGAAATAAATCAGAAGGAAGAAGAGAAAAAACAAAGAATTAAAAATAATGAAAGAGAAATATAAGAACTAGCTGATACCATCAGGAGAGGAAACATAAGAATAATGGGCATTTAGTTATATAAATGTCTAATCACTATGTTGTACACCTGAAACTAATATAATATTTTATGTCAACTACAATTAAAATTTTTTTTAAATTAAGAATAATGGACAACCTCAAAGGGGAAGAAAAGGAGCAGGGATTAGAAAGCATTTTCAGTTCAGT